ATGCCAGAACGGATTAACGGTAATTACATTGAACCTTATGGGAAAATTTGCTTCAGGTCGCAACCAATTCAGGTCGCGACCAGAGTCGCAGAACCAATTAAGTTTGTGAACCAAGGTTCCACTTAATTTTGGATGATGATGAACAATCCATCTCATAATTTCCAACGTCTCAGCCACTGCTTGGGAAGTTTTATGGTGTGTTTAACTAAATTAGCTATCTCCAGATGATGCCCTCTAGATTACATCTCTCATAACTTCCAGTAAATAAACTTTAGGTCCATTGATTCAAAGCATGGGAGTTGTAGTTTGGGATGTCTGTAGGACACCAGATGGGTGAAGGCTCAAATTTAATTGTGATCATTCTTTTCCAAATCCACTTGTAATGCGTTTCACAGTGGCAGGTCAAAAGTCGTCTTTAGTCTGTAGAGGCCCAGTTTTCTCCATGAGGAAACATGAATTAGTAGTGCGATGTGACAGCTAAAAGGGTTATTGGAAGTATAAACTTTATCAATAGATCTAGCATTGTAGTCAAAATAGTATCATGTTGTTATGCCTTGGTCAGACCTCCTCTAGAGTATTGTATTGAATAGAGGGTGATGCCATTTAAGAATACTGCAAATTGGAATGGTCCAAAGAAGAACAAGAAAGATGGAGTGGGGCTCAGAGATTATGATTATTCTTGGGAAAAAATTATGAAAAGGAAACAAGGTAGCCATCTTCAGAAATGGCTAAAATACATTTCTCAGCTGTTCAGCAGGAGAACAGATTATGGTCGAAAAATGGCAGGCTTGTTTTCTCTGCTTGCGTTTTCTAAGCAGAGAGCAGGTGTTTGTCTGTTAGGGTACAGTGGTTAATTTCCTGCATTGACCAGTGCTGGACTAGATACCATCTGCTGCTCTTCTGCTCTATGACTCTAAGACATATTAATACTTTGTGGTTTTTAATAGTAGAGTTTTGTTGCTGTTACATAGTAGTATCTTGCAATAAATCTCTAATATACTGAAATCATCATTCAATGCTGGGCCATTTCAGGCTTCCAACTATATGATTATTACAGGTTTCTCCCTTGTTTTTAGATCGGGAAGTTATCTTGGAACTTGATGCCAAGTTGAAGGAGCATCGTAAGATGGCAGGACAGGAGGCTTTATATTTTGCAGGACTGTTCTTGTGGCATATTGGCCGCTGCGAGAAAGCCCGTGAATACATTGACAGAATGATCAAGATCTCAAATGGCAGTAAAGAGGTAACCCATTTCCCATAGTTGTTTATTGTACTTGCAAGTCTGCTTGCTATGCAACAAAATTTGATCACCCTCATGTTCACCATCATGATGCCCTCAGTCATCTTGCATATCAGAGCGAATTTTCATTGGCTCCTTTAACACTTGAGAAGTATTTTGGTAGTTTTGGTACTGTTACAAAATAGCCTGATAGTTTCTCTTTAATTAAATGTTAGGGAGGTCTGGTTCCTTAAATGGAATGTACCATTGGCCAATGGTACAATTTGTTACACATGCTGCCACTACTTATTTCATACTTAGCTACAAGCGCCATGTTCCTTGCAGATATATTGGTACCTATACGGGTTGTAACTAGTGGTAGCTTTGTCCCAGTGGAAAGTCGTCTATTCACACAAATTGGAGTGCTCTATATATTTGCTGATTTTCTCAAGTTTCTTTGTCTCTCTGTGTCATACCTTACTCCACTCTTTAGGATCCTGAAACACTCAGGAATAGATCTTGGATCACTTGGAGGCTGCTGTGATTACATAGGATTGAGGAAAAACAGGTCCCTTATTTGTGTAAATGGATTTTTTTTATATTACCCATCCATTTTAAATGAAAGAATCCTGATTTCCTGAAATCCTAAAGGCATTCTCACCAACTAGTTTTCTAGGTTCCTAACTTCTGTTATGCAAATATAGTCTAATATTCCATATGCATTTGAAAAGATGCCAGGCTTCACCCAGACTATGACTTAAACTCCAAGGCTGAGATTCAAGGATTCAGCTGTTTGATAAGCTAGTTTTATTACAGATACTAGGAAAGCCATAATTAGAACAGAAGATTCGCCAGGGCCAACTATAAGCCTTCAAGCCTTATATTTATTTATATCCATCTTGAGGTTCAGACCTTACATCTCTTCTTCCTGCCTGTGTGTCCAAATGGGCTGAAGGTGGGTTGTTTCTTAATGGATGGAGCGGTTAACATCTATAGATTGTCACTCTAACAGATCTGTCTGTTTTCAGGCTCTTCTTTTGATCCTTCTAGCTTTCACAGGAACTTCTAGAGAAGTTCATCCAGAGTGTCAGTGCTGCGGGATGCTGAGAGTTGTGTTTTCACCTATCTGGAGTGGGCCTATTAGTGGGGGTGGATAAATAGGGAACATCATAATGCTTTAAGTAATAAATCCATCCCATAACAGCAAGCATGAACAACACAGAACAAAGATCAGTCTTCTGGTTGCATAAATATTGCATTTTTGTAAGTAGTACTTTATATAATTTTTTTCTCTCTCTATCCAGTAACAACAAAATACTGTTGCATCATTTGATGCTTTGCTTTGTTCTTACAGGGGTGGATTCTAAAAGGATGGCTTGATGTGACCAGTGGGAAAGAAACAAGTATAAAAAAAGCTGGAAAATACTTTGATGAAGGGCTCCAAAACGGGAATGATATTTTTGGCCTGATGGGTAAAGTAAGTCTATAAAAAGCTTTTAAATGCAGCTAATTAATAACAAACTCTGCAGCTGGTGCAGACTGATCCAGCACAGATTAATGCAATTGCCATCTAGGGTAAGACTGGAAGAAAAGATGGGAAAGCAGATCAAAGCAACCTTATTTTATATTCAGAATGCTATCTGTTCTCTCTCTCCACTCATGTTCTTATTTTGCGTGACGTGAATATGGGCTCTAAGAATCTGACTGAAGTCAATATTCCTTCTTTGATTCACAGGATTAAGTCTTTTAGCCATCGCATCATCAATTATTTTTATTTGCTTTGACATACGCTTTTCTGTCATGAAAAGCAGAAAGATGCATTTGGAGTCAATTTTGCACTCATTGGAATGACTGAGGTAATTGAAGAACAATGCACATAAAGTGCTGGGGTCAAATTGACTTTATAAAAGGTTTTACCATTTGCAACTGTAGAGAAGAAATAGTTCTTTTCATTTCTTCTGAAAAAGCTTTGAAGGTCTTTTTAAATATTTATGTTGGCAAAAAAGTATTCGGTTTTAAAAATCTTGCTATAAATTGCATTTTGAATCAGTAGGTTTACAATCACTTTGCTGTGATTTTTTAAAAATTTCCACTTAGAAACTTGCATCTCGCTATGTTTACTGCTTTGAATGGTTCTGCTTTCCAAGTCATTTTAATCCTGGTTGTGAAACTCACTGGTTCAGGCACTGTATGAAGGCATGAGTTATTTAACCATAGTTTATTGAATAAACAGCAATTGACTAGATTCACATCACATAAATGCAGCCCAGAGAAGCCACATTATACTTAGCACATTGTAGGAAAACTGCTATTCTCTCACAAAGCTTTGTTTTATATGAAAGCATTGACATTGATGACCTTCAGCGGAAGATGTCCCATAAGTACATATACGCCTTCCAAATCTATATATAAAGGGCAAGATGGATGTGTTCGTGCTGATCACAGATGTTGTATAGGTTCTGAATAACAATCACGAAAGACTGCTTTTCCACCAGTGTGCACTAGCCAGGGAATTGGCTAAGAAAAACTTCTTTCTGGTTGGAAAGTTTTAAAAAAGGCAAGACAGAAGTGACCAAGTGATCGTTTCATTTTTCACTAGGCCCAGTATTTTGAAATGCGTCAGAATTATTCAGGAGCTTTGGAAACTGTGAATCAAATAATTGCCAATTTCCCTCACTTCCTTCCGGCATTTACAAAAAAGATGAAGCTACAGCTGGCTTTGCAGGACTGGGAACAGGCAGCTGAGACTGCCCAGAGGTGGAGTAAACGTCATTATTCTTGTCTAGATCTGTTAAAAATGCTGTAACTTCTCAGCTGCAGTGCTTTTGCAGAACACAAATTATCAAAGCTGATTTCTCCACTGATGAGTTAGAACTTCTTCTATAGTCCCCCACCAAAATGACAGTAAGGAAGACTAACTTTATATCCCATCAACAATGGCTGGATGTTGCTATGTTGCTAGCACTAGTGGGGAAATGTCTAAGAAAGAATAATAGTTTTTCACTTACTTATTTCCCAATCTTGATCTAGCTAGTCAGTACCTATGATGCTTTATGGAACTCATTTGCTTCCAGTCATTGGTTCAGAATTGTTGGGATGTACTTGATCAATGGTGGGTAAACACAGTTGTGAAGGTCCATAACACTTTCTATTTTGGTTGAAGCATCTTTTGTGCACACACACACAGTGGTGGTAAATGATGGCTGCATCAGCTCTTCCCTTCTTTGAAATTTCATATAATGAGGGGGGAGTATGATAGTATGAGAACTAAAGAAGGATGAACAGTTTACTGCTCTCGTAAAGTACTGCAGCTTGTGTGTGCCCATCCATGCCAATCTTCTCTGTATTGTTCCAGTTTTAGTAAATGTGCTGCCAAAGTGAACACTGTAGCTTTGTATCCATTTCTCTAAGTTGTCTTGAACGTTGGAGATGAGGGGGACCTAAAGATGCCAAGTAATACATTACATTTTCAAGAAGGTTTACTGAGCTCCCAAAATTTCCACTTAATCTGAAGTTGGTCCCCAGAAGCAATCATCAGTAGTGTCACAAAGTAACAGTAAAGTAAATAGTTCTTTGCCCTAAAACAGAAACAGGAAACTTAAAGTCCTCCAAATGGTGCTCAGCTATTAGCCAGTCTGTATGTAGCTGCTGTGTCTTGTAGTTCAGCAGGTTTTCTTGAAAACACCTAAAAAAATAAAGCGTTTCAGTGCTGTTTTATTTTGCTTTAGGTTGTTGCAGAAAGATTCTCTCAACCTAGATGCTTTAAAAATGGAGGCTGTTCACCATTTGTGCAGGGAAGGAAACATACCTGAGGTGAGTCTTCAGTTTGTAATTCCACATTGTTGGATGTGTTTTATATAGAGACATGGGGAAAAAATTACTCAGGCTTTTCCTCCCTGTAAAATAATTTCTTTGTCTTCTAATTGCCTTCTAGATGATGATGATGGTGATGGTTTTATTAATATTGCAATCCTGTTCTTGTACATATAGAATTAAGTTCCGTTGGGTTTATTTCTAAGGTCAATGGATGGAAAATTTCAGGAGTAAATGTCTTTTGAGAATTACAGTCCTGACACAGGAAATAGATATTTTAGAATTACATGCAGTAAAAGGATGGATCTAATTTAAACTACTAGTGTCATATTACCAAACAGCCACCAGTGGAACAGGAGATGGCCTTTTGAATGTGCACTCCCTAAATCTCATTTGGAGATACCCCAGGATGGAGCAGATCCGGGCATTGCACAGGCAGCTGCGAGAAGAAAAAGGAATTTGATCTGCCAGTAAGGTCTGTTCTGCTGATGGAAGGTGGCAATTGGACATGATGCAAAAACATTTTCTTTTCAGGCTCTATGATATTTTTTGTCAACAGGGCCCTTAGTCTGTGATTGATACCATAACGAACAAATGTTTGTATACAGATTTAAAAGTCTACTTTAGATTGGTTCAAAGATACATTGGTTTTACACATTGCAGAAAGCCATGGTTTGTTTAATGAAGAGTTATGGATTAAACTGTTGGCTGGATTTGCACAGCTATGTCATAAACCATGGTTTACAAACCAGATTTGTTGGATTCATACAAGATGCTAGATCAAGTTAAAACAAACCAGAATGGTGGTATAAGTATTTTGATGAATCAGCTTTATTTATGATGTGAAACTTGAGCAGTTCATACTTGTGCATGTTGCAAAGTGTTTCTATATTTCCATAAGATTTAAACCAAAATATGGATGGTTAGGATTGGGGGAGCTGTAATATTGGAAATGGGATTCTTAATTATAAATCTGATATTTTTCAATGAGTTTTTTATTGCATTATAAAAATGTAGGGTAGAATAAACTCAAGGAAAAATAGTTCGTTGTAATAAATGCACGCATGTTTGAATGGTCAGAATCTACCTAATAAAATGAATTGTTGCAAGAGTTATCTACAAAAGTTAATCGTAAACACTGATTGGTCCCTTAAGTTATTGTTACTGTTTGAATAAAACTGTTTGAATAACACCTATTTAGACATGTACAAAAGAAAGTAGGATAATTTAAGAAATGAAATACCATGGTGCTTAAAAGTTTGTGAATCCTTTTGAATTTTCAATAGTTCTGCATAAATATGACCTAAAACATGATTTGTTCTCCACACAAGTCCTAGGGCTCCACCAGTTATTGAAAACAAAGGTTCACATACTTTTGCCACACACAAATATGTAGCTTTGAATCATTTTCCTCACTCAGTAAGTGAACAAGTATAATGTTTTTGACTCATTTGTTTAATTAGCTTCTCTTTATCTAGTTTTAGGACTTGTGTGGAGAACCACTGTATCTCTATATACAGTATGTATATATACACTCTGTGTGTGTGTGTGTGTGTGTGTGTATAGAAATATATAGATATAGATATAGATACAAAACCACTATACAGCACTGCTGTATATTTAATTTTCAGTGGGGTCCTTGGGGTTCTCTGAGCTTGGTTCTTTTCTTGCAAG